GTGTGTGACATGAAGGCACGGGGCTAGCGCAAGTGTCAGCAGGTGTTGTGCAGAGTTCTGCCTGGCTGCGTCAGACACTGAGTGAGTGAACAGGAGATGACAGGCCCTCACCGGCCCCTTCACTCAACCTGTCACGCGAGGTCACCTGCAGCCCCGGGCGCTCATCACTCATTCACACATATATTTACAAAGATTCATAGAGATTCAAGATCTCAGAGATATCATAAGAGGATCTTTAGAATATTAACGGGTTGTTTTAAGCTGTGTTGATTACTTTGGATTACCACAGACAGTAATTTAGACGGCAGTCGTGCAGCTCTGTGAATGCACATTTAAAAGGTTCAGCTTGTCATCACAGTGTTTCAGAAGTATAACAAGCTGTCAACCAGAAACAACATGCATGGTATCTGATTTTACTCACCTTAGACTGTTGAGTGTTGTTGGCATTGTGCCTGGGGCCCTGTAAAGAGGGGCCAGTTCTCTACGGCGGGAGTTTTCAAACATTCTGATGCCACAGAACCTCATATTTTATTATCGTTTGAAGAGGAAGACGAAAAAATACAGGCTGCTAGATATTTTCATGTGCAGTGTCCCATTTATACACTGTAAATATTAGGGCTGTCAAATCGCATCCAAAATTAAAGTTTGTGTTTACATGATATATGTGTGTATGTATATCTATATGTACCTGTATGTAATGCACATACATACATGGCTATTTAAGAAGTATATATATATATATATATATATATATATATATATATATATACACACATGTAAATATTTCTTAAATATATACATGTATGTGTGTGCATTTATATATAAATATAGATATACACAGTACACGCACATATATTATGTAAGCAAACTTTTATTTTGGATGTGATTATTCCCCATTAATTGTTTCTATCTTCCTCAGCTTAAAAAAAAAATGCAATGATAAAAATATTACATGGAAAATGTTTGCATTGTTTTAAGCAGGCATTTGTAACACAACACATTTGTGGCAAACTCATATGAAATCAAATAAAATGTTAGACTTTCTTTCATAAGAAAGCATCACCTTTTTTTTTACATCTTTACCTATCCTCTTATGAAATCGTGACATTAGGAATATGGTTTCCAGGCCCAAGCCTCTACTTGCTTCAACTGAGAATATTATCTCAACAGATATTTATGAGCACTGTTTATTCATATCACACATGTACGCTAAGCTAAGTGTACGGTGTTTGGTGTACCCCTGGACACCAGTATTTGATCAATTCATAAAAGATGAATCACTCTCTGGCCATCTGAGATTTTGGTATGGAGATAAAGATTGGGATCGTGATTATATTTGTCCCCTTCGATAGAAATTGTGCACTGAAAAAAAAAGTACTTTGAATTAACTACATTTTTATAATGTGTACATCGGTCCCACATGATCAGAATGTGTTCAACTGACATAATTGTCCTCTTTTTCTCAATGATTATTGCTTGCCAAACCAAAATATATCATTCACGTTAGACTATTAAAATAATCGTGTTGATTCAAGATATTATTTGTCATTACTGATCGTCATTACACAAATGCACTGTGTGCTGTTAAAGGAATTTCATTGTGTCAATGGTACCAACTTGATTTCTTAATGCTAATATTAATCAAAGGTATTATGCAACTCTAACGCAATTTCATCATGTCTCTGGTACCAGAGTTGTGTAAACCTAACTTGTTTTATTAAATTCTACATGTACTGTAGACATGTTCAAATGTGTGAGTACAAAATAAAAATTCTACAAATGCATACTGGCATTGACCATAAAGGCAAAAAAGCAAGAGTTGGTACTTAGATTTTGTTGTATTGAGTTGTCAAACTTTACAAATTTACAAATGGAGGACTGAGCACAGTTGCCATTAATTGCACAGAAGAATAAAGCACTTTAAATACTGCATGAGCAGCAGATTCAAACGCAAATACAATGTATTGTCAAATTGGATTAAGAACAGCAAAACATTTATAAACCTACTATTAACTGTTGTCAGTGTCGATTAAGAACAGCAAAGACATTAGTAAAAATATTAACTGTCACAGTAGACTTAAAAGTGCATATACAAAATAGTAAACTATTAGAACAAAGTGCATTCTGAAGAAAAAACAAAACACTTTTATTCAAGTAATCCAATCACGGCACAAAGTGAGTAAGTTAAAATAGAGCAAGAGCTTGTTACAGTTCACTGCCAAGGTTTACCATGCATCTTAAAGGGATAGTTCACCCAGAAATGAAAATTCTGTCATTAATTACTCACCCTTCATGTTGTTCCAAACATGTAAGACCTTTGCTCATCTTCGGAACACAAATTAAGACATTTTTGATGAAATCCGAGAGCTTTCTGACCCTCCATAGACAGCAACGCAACTGAAATATTCCCAAACCCAGAAACGTAGGACATCAGTAAAATACTGACCTTACTGTCTTTTTGTGTGCAAAGAAAACAAAAATAACGACTTTATTCAACAATTCTTCATCTCCGAGTCACCTTCTGCCTCCACGATGGAGAGTACCACAAGGCATGCGTGTAATGCTGGTGACGTAGAACATGCATAAGCTGCACCTTGTTTACGAGCAGAGGAAAGCACACGCATGCGTCGTGGTACTCTCCATAATGGAAGAAATCAAAAATATCTTAATTTGTTTTCTGAAGATGAACGAAAGTCTAACAGGTTTGGAACGACATGAGGGGGAGTAATTAATCACAGAATTAAAAATTTGGGGGTGAACTATCCCTTTAATGCCTTCAAGGACAACACCAACATCCTCTGGTTCATCAGAAGCATGTTGTTTGCAAAGGTAAATCCCAACAGTGGTGTCTTCAATGGCCTCATTGATGCACTCTAAAAAATGCTGGGTTGTTTCAACCCAATGTTGGGTCAAATATGGACTAACCCAACTGTTGGGTTAAAAAGTGAATTTAAAAATGTAACCAAAATTTAACCCAACAGTTGGGTTAGTCCATATTTGACCCAACATTGGGTTGAAACAACCCAGCATTTTTTAGAGTGTGCAGGCTTCATTCATGCCCTGCACAAAACAAACAAATGTAGGTAAATAAGTCCTATTAACAAAGGCCTACTGAGAAAAATCTAAAACACTAAAAAAAAATTGTTTTTAATTATTTCTGATGCTGAAGATTTATTTGGAATGACAAAATTTATAGTGCAACTGTATATTTTGAATTATGTATAACTTAGTCACAAAAATAAAGATTTAGGGCTTTAACACCAATGCAAAAGTAAATTAAAATACCCATTTAAAGCGTGAGTGTGTGTGCAAAGATGGACCGATAAAATAAATTTTTTTATAATCAGTCAATAATTGAAAGACAACATACAAATTCACAAAGTAAAAATTAACAGACTTGTTTTAATGTTTTGTCATAGGGCAATGAAAACGCAAAACAAAATGAAAACAGACTAAATCTATTGTTCAGAACACTGCTCCAATTTTTTTTTTTTTATTATTGTGAGAGACGGCGAATAAGCCAAATTAGCCAACTTGACGTGATAACAGGGCTTTTCCGCTGGGTGCATCCAGAAAGGTCCAGTTGTCTGCCGAGGTTCAGTTGGGGAGTTACAGACGGTGGAAACGGCTCGCGGCTGCAGTTTTCTCTCGTAGCAGAAGCGTTTTGTGTAGTCGAGTCTGACTGGTTGTTAATAATCGGTTCAATAACAACACTGAAAAAAGTTATTCATCGAATTTACAAAAACATTTTTAAGGTAAGTGGTTGCAATCAATTTATTTTAGCTACATTTAAATAAACAAATTTAGTTGACAAACTTGCAACATATTTTTTTTATTAAAAAAGCAACCACTTACCTTAAAAAAATGTAGTATCGATTTTTTTCAGTGAAGTTGAAACCGACGTGACTGCCGCTAACAGAAAGACTGTATTGTAAATGAACTATTTTATGTAATATTTATATTTATTTTCAATATATTATAAATATTTCATCTGTGAAGAGATATGCTTGTGAAAGCCGGGTGCAGGAGCACCGCTTTTCACGGTCTCTAAAGCCTCGTACACACTGGGACGATTATCGTGCGTGCTTATCGCCGACGTTTTTCGATGCATCTTTTGTGTTCATACCCAAGCGATTTTCGCTGGCAATGAGCCGAGTGAACGTGCAAATAAATACCCCGGTACACATCAAATCCTATTTGCTCTGCAATTCCTCTCCTTAACAACTCCCTCTTTACGAGATTTTTGTAGTCGCTGTCGCGTTGGTCATAAAGCTCTTTGTGTTCAGACACCAATGAGACCAACAGCTCTGCATTCATCTTGCCTCGATGCATCTTCTTGGTCTATTTACTTCCTCTTCATCGTTAGGTATCAATGTGTCCTCGGCAAGACCGTTTTGTGCTTGACCGCCACCAGTTTTACTGTAACTTTAGCAGCTCCAGGCACGTGAACAAAAGCACCAATCTCATTGGTCGGCCAGTTTTTAACGTGGCGCGTCAAAACAAAGAAACGAGCCGAGGCGTTTTTTTTTTTTAAATATGCTTTTACGCCTCGCGTTTTGCGCGTCGGGGTGCACACTCACATTGGCGCCCTTTGTTTAGTCACGAGGCGTTAAACGTTGGAAATAATTGTGCGCGATATTCATCCCGGTGTGAACAAGCCTTAACGTTACGCCGCCTGCAGCGAAATCGCCCGCGTTTTGCCACTCTCTATAAATATATCTAATTGAAAATGAGCTAGAAAAAAATGAGCTAACGTTAAGGCTTGTTCACACCGGGACGAATATCGCACGCGTTTATCACCGACATTTAACGCCTCATGACTAAACAAAGGGCGCCAATGTGAATGTGCACACCAACGCGCAAAATGCGAGGCGTAAAAGCGTAATTTAAAAAAAAAACGCCTCGGGCCCGTTTTTTTGATTTAACGCGCCACATTAAAAACTGGCCGACCAATGAGATTGGCGCTTTTGTGCCTACGATTCTACAGCGCTGCACGTTTAGCCCCGCCCACCGATTCTAAAGCGCTGCATGTTAAGCCCCACCCACCGATTCTACAGCGCTGCACGTTTAGCCCCGCCTACTGATTCTACAGTGCTGCACGTTTAGCCACACCTACAGATTCTACAGCGCTGCACGTTTAGCCCCGCCTACCGATTCTACAG